ACTGACAGACACTTTCGGCTGAATGAGCAGTCCTATTAGGTTAACTGTTCTTGATCCTAATATGTGTTTAATTATCAAAATTTATTACGAGCACGTAAATTAACCAATATTTTTAATACATTTATTCAATAATTAAATTAGAAGATCTGCACAATAAACCAAATTATTACATTTTTAGCTTTGTCTTGACGCTAGTTGCAAGCCGATGAATATTCGAATTTATTAAAATGATTGTCAACCAAAGAAAAAAAAAAATGGCGCCGGGAGGCACGTATAGCCGCCCATACTAAAATATGTTTATAAAAAGTTGGCAGTTCTTTTAGTTTCAAAGTAGGAAAAAATATTTTTCCAATTTTTTTTATCTCAAAAACTGCGACTTTGACTGATTTTGATGTTATTACAAATTTTGTTGCAAACATTATTCCTAATCTTAAATTGAAAACCGCGTTTCGCTAGCTACTGTAAATTTTGGAGTTACGATTTTTTTAAATGTTTAACCCCCTCCCATACCCCCTTACCAACCCCCTACCCCCACCACAAAAACTAATGGCCAGATTCTCGCCAAATTTGGTTAAAATTGGTTTAGCGGTTTTTGAGTTATCGTGTTACAGACAGACGGACAGACAGATAGACACCATGAAAATGTTTTGTATTTAGGTCATTTATGGCCCAAATAACTAATTTTGAGTAAAATTAAGAAAACTTTTTTTGCCCATCTTAATAGCCTACCATACCTGTTGGTATGGTCGGCTAAAAATCAGAATTTGTTGCATGAGGCATTATATTGCACAAAAATTTCGATAATGCAATATACTTAGTTAACAATTGTTAGGTATAATAAAAAAAGACAGAAGTACAAATTTCAAAATGACTAGTAGACAGAGCTGCAACAAATCAGTTAAAAAATACTTAAGTCTTAAGTTATTTATAAAATCAAAATTATTTACGTCTCAAGTCAAATTCAACACAAGTCAAGTCATTTTTGTAAAGACTTAAATCAACATAACGCTATTTAAGTCGTTTTTATGGCTTAAGTCTATATTTTTGTCTCAAATCATGATGATGTGCAAGTTAAGTCAGTAAAATGACGATCTATTCAATATTAATTAGATTAAAATAATCGATATAATTACCCTCAAGTCAAGATAAACAGAATTCCATTTAAGTAGGTAGGTACCTTTTTTAAATGTTAATATTAATTTTCTTGTATTACAAATTAGGTGATTTTTTTACTAAGTAGGTATGATATTATTAATTTATTGTAGATACAGATGAGACCAAAAACCACATAAAATAAAATGGTTAATTTTCAATTGAATAATTACAAACACAAAATATGTTTTTTTTTATAAAATTTAACCGATTTTGTAGTACGTTATATGTATACATTACAGATAGATGTCATCGAATGCATGTCTTTAAAAAGTGTTGATGTGTTTTGATCACTATGTAATATATCGATGGCATAAGCTAGGGGCTGGAGGATTTTAAAGTATTCTCCAATATATTCGAGATAAATTTCTTTCGTTCGGCATTTGGTATACTGAAAATGCAAGTATGCCAAATTTGAGTCCAATCAGACGTCAGGAATTGAAACCATAATATGGTACTATATTAGGGTACCACTTTTTATGCTTCACCGTAAATACACATTTTATTAAGCAACAAACTCTTGACAATAGATCTGTTGTTATAGCAAAAGTTAAATTCAACTAAGCTTTGACATTACTTAAAAAAATTGTGGTTAATTTTTGTCATGTGGTCGTATAGGTAAAGTATATTGAATATCAATCCTGTATACTTTTTTTAATGCATGCGACAGAGCTAAATATAAATGACCTGTTGACAGACAGAGAGACAAAATAAAAAGTAGCATAGAGTGTTGCCGGTTTTTACGTGTGTAGGAAAATTTATGTAGAAAAAAATAAACTAGGTACTATAAAACTTTGATGGTTTTTAACTTAACTAAACTTTGATGATATTGAAATGAAGAAAATACATATATCTAAGCTAAATATAATGTATTACAGCTGTAGTAAAATGAAAAACTATTTGTGAAAAATAAAGTTCCAGCCCTGGATATAGAATATCCTCTAATGAGAGAATATACACAATAATCCTTACAACCTGGTATTAAAATTTTTCATGACATGTTTCGAGACGGTGAGGTCTCATCTTTAGGCCCAAGCTAAAATATCAGAGAACAGTCAAAGAAGTAAAAAACTTCACAAAAACAGCCAAATAAACAAAAGTCAAGTAAAAGACATACAAATTACATCTGGTTAAAAGTATTACAATTGTTTAATTATAAAATTATTAGAGAAAGTTAAAATGTCTTAACAATAGATAAGTTCTAACTTATAAAAGATAAAAACAGGGAGATGGTGGAAAATTACTTTTATCTTATAGATACATTCGAAATTAAGGGTAATTTGAGAACCTTTATTATTTACAACATTTTTTTCACTATTGAGGGGAATATCTAAAAGTGTATTATGTAAGTTATTCAATTTGAATACTTTTTATAATTTAGAACATGTGTTAGTGTATTTTCAACTGTTAAGAATAACAGTTAAAAGAAGCTAAAGAAAGTAAAAAACAATTAGCTAAGAGGAGGCAAAATATTTTTTTGTAGTTATATAACCCTTGTATATTATTTAATATATTTTTTGTTATGTTAATTAAATTTAATTTATATGATGTTTTTTTAATATTTTAAAAAGTTTGTTTTTCGTAAACGCCTACTTGCGTGCGGTTTGAAATTTTGATGCAAAATCCGACAATACCGCATAGAAGACATGTATCAACCCAACTTTTACCCTTTTTAATATATTTTATTTTTCATTATGCTGTCTACATCACTGTCTTACACGTTAAAATCCAGCCCACGCTTTTACTATGGCCCGATCGGTAAATACTTGTAGGTATCTATATACTCATACAGCAACTTTTCGATTCTTATTTACCTAATAGATGATTTTTACCTTTTATATGATCTTACGATAATCATTACGAGTACTAGTTACTAATGTAAATCTAATATTACTGATATTACCAATAAACCAATTATTTTCCATGTTTTTGTAGGTAGATAGAAGAAAAAGTAAAATGCTTAAATTTTTGTACAAATTCCAAAGTTTTGGTAAAATGTACTTACCTACCTTCTTATTTATAAAAAGCTCACAACTAATAAATAAAGATCACATGATAATTATTGATTTATTTAATTAATATTTATTAAAATTAAATAATAATTAATTAAATGTGATTATGCTAAAACAAGTTTGTGGCAAAGTGATGCTTTGATTTGAATTATTTAAAAAAATATTTTTATGTTTTGTTTAGATTTCTTAAATGTTCTTCATTTCTTGGTAAGTTAGAGTTTTTAAAATATTTTATTGCGGCTTCTAGTTGGTTTAGAAATGTCAATCTATATGGCATTCACCATATGTAATTTTACATACAAGTTATATAATTTTCTTCAGAAAAAAATGTGAATACTTTTTTATCTGTCTTGGTAGCATATCACTAGTGATTCAGGTATCTAACTTGATATAATATATCTCTTATTTGATATAAAATTTTTAAATAAATGATTTCTGGGTAGCTATAATAAGTATGGACTTATAATTAACATTTTGGCACACTCAAACATATAGATATATTTACTTATAACACAACAACACAATTAATATATAACCTAACAACACAATTAATATTAATTCATTATTTATCAAATAGCTTTTAACTGGTATATAAACTACCTATAATAGTTTTCGAGCATGGACATATTATGAAAATTGATTTTTTTACTTCCGGTTATTTAAAAGTAGAAGTTATTAATATAAACTAGATATAATTACTATACATATCTCTAATGTATAGAAATAGTTATTGTTGAGAGGATTTATTCCTAACAACACAATTAATATTAATTCATTATTTATCAAATAGCTTTTAACTGGTATATAAACTACCTATAATAGTTTTCGAGCATGGACATATTATGAAAATTGATTTTTTTACTTCCGGTTATTTAAAAGTAGAAGTTATTAATATAAACTAGATATAATTACTATACATATCTCTAATGTATAGAAATAGTTATTGTTGAGAGGATTTATTCCTACGTGCAGAAAAGTTTCGGAATTCTACTAACTTGTTATTTTTTATGGATAAACTTAAATTTATTGTACAATTATTACCTTGTTGTAAAGTAAATTTGTTACATTAGGTTTACATCAATTAAGTGCAGTAGTTGAAGAACATTACTTTTATATTTATTATCCTGTATAAAATATATTTTTCTTTAGAAATGGACGTATAAAATTTTATAACAGTAGAAAAATACGTCATGGGCTTTTCCGTGATATTAAAGTGATGTATGATAGCATAGGTAGATGTATATTGTTTAAGAGAACAATACAATATTACATTATTTTTATAAATCCTGTAGATATATATAGATATACAATTTATTCTATAACAAATTGCATTATTAGTTAAGAGACTGAGGATCTAATAGGTACACTTGATTTTTAAATGATTAAAATGTCTTGTGAAAAAAAAAATATATTGTATGTATTACTATTAAATGTAAAAAATGTTTAGAAAATATAGGAACAAAATTTTTACCAGGGTTTTATATATCATGCAAAACTCAACAATCCCTTCGTTCAAAAGAAACGTTTGTTGGTTTATCTAAAAACGGTAGCTTTGTCGTTTTCGATCCCGAATCGTGTCCACTTTCATATGAGCGCTCTACACGCTCTGTTGCTTAGCTACCGTGTCCCACCGACTGTAAACACTTCCCCGCAAAGGTGGGGATACCGGTGGGCGGAGTCACGCATTTAGCGACCTATCAAACGTTCGGCTGGGGTGACGTCACGGCGAGTGCGGCGCCTCCAATAGCGCACGCATCGGAGGGGGCACAGTGGAGGGGCGCTCGCCAACTCCGTCACGTCGAGCCAGCATTCGGCAGTAGTACAAACAGAGTCGCCGTAGGTGCAGACCGAAACGTGTACTGTGTCAGCGTATAAGTTAACCTTGTTATGTTAATTAGAGAGTTGGTTGCTTATAAAGACTATAGCCTTATGACACTACGCGACGGGTGAAAGACTATTCGGGATTGTTTGTGGTGAAACGAAATCTTGCGTTCTCGTTCCGATTTAGTGCGTTTTAAAGTGCAAAAGTGTACGAACACGAGGATAGTGCCGACTCGACGGCTGGGCGGCCCTTGCAGGGCATGGCGGCCACAACGTACCTGCCGGCGAGTAGTGCAGACCTAGAAGGCACAGTTGTCGGGATGAATATTGTAAGCGGGTACCATACAAGCGCGTCGCCGCGATCTGCGGCCGACGCTAACGAGATGAAATATTTGCCACAACACCATAGCCACCATAATCATATGGCTAGTTCTCCGAGTCCGGGAGGACATGCCGCGATGTCCCTATCGGCGGCGAATCCATGGGTGAGTCTTCAACCGGGTACAGACCCTTGGGGTGCTACTATGGCGAGCATGCACGCCCACCACCACCCTCATCACCAAGACGTAAAGCCCTTAGCCGCTCAGCAGGCTGATATGATGCATCATCATCGTCAGCAGCAACAAAGTATGGGCTCCCCACATGGCTGGCACGGACCTGTCGCATCAGCTCATTACAACCCCGGTGGTGCCGGATCGCCTCTTCATCAATACCATTCCGTTATGAACGGTATGTTAACCCATCATCAAGGAGCGCCACAACTCCATCACCCTCTTCATAGGGACATGCAAAGTCCTCATCATCCCCAGCATCCAGATAGGGATGTGAGCGGTGGCGAGGACGAGACGCCCACCAGCGACGATTTGGAAGCCTTTGCGAAGCAATTTAAGCAGCGACGGATAAAGTTGGGATTCACGCAGGCGGATGTGGGTTTAGCGTTAGGAACACTATACGGCAACGTTTTCTCGCAAACGACCATTTGCAGGTTCGAGGCATTACAGTTAAGTTTTAAAAATATGTGCAAACTGAAGCCGTTACTTCAAAAATGGCTCGAGGAAGCCGACTCGACGACGGGCTCGCCCACGTCCATCGACAAGATCGCGGCTCAAGGCCGAAAGAGAAAAAAGCGCACCAGCATCGAGGTGTCGGTAAAGGGCGCGCTTGAACAGCACTTTCACAAGCAACCCAAACCCTCCGCTCAAGAAATCACTTCTTTAGCCGATAGTCTCCAGCTCGAAAAAGAAGTGGTCAGGGTATGGTTCTGTAACAGACGTCAAAAAGAGAAACGGATGACGCCCCCGAATACGCTGGGCAGCGAGATCATGGAAGGCATGCCGCCCGGTAGTCACATGCATCCAGGCTACGGCCACCACCCCGACATGCACGGCTCGCCTATGGGTCAGCATTCGCACAGCCACAGCCCGCCGATGCTTTCGCCGCAGGGCATGGGCCACCAGCTGACTGCCCACTAGCACGCGGCCCACTGGGCCTCCCTTTTACACCACAGTGACAACGGCTAGTGATGACTGCCGCCCTAGGCGGCCCCGCTACCTCATGGACAATTTCCATCCTCCGGCCGTTGAGGAGGCCGAGTGGACTCTCTCTCAGTGCGAACGAGTACTAGTACCTTAGCAAAGGCCCTTCCAGGCTCAACTGTACATTACTGTAAATAGAGTGACTGGTCCTGCGGATCCTGTAATATAGTAGTAGACAATTTTCAGACGATTTGTACATATAGGGAAACAGCCCGCGTCGCTATCGACGGATTTGTGCGTTGAATGTAATCCTGGTCAGTGTAATTGAAGAAGATGTGTAGGGCTGAAGTTGCGCGCGGATGATCTATTCAGGTAACATGGATTTATTTTATCCATTGTTAAAATCTCTCTTATCCGTAAAAGTTTTTATTTTATTCCAATTCTTAATTTTGATAATTATTATAATAACTTCATTATTAGCATCAAACTCATGGAAGTTCTTAGATAAATTTTTCAAAACCTCGAAACTCAAGAAATATTGTTGAAGTCATTCTGTTGAATCTCTTTGTTTCAAAGCAAATACACTTGTTGGAAAAAATATCTAAGATATATGAATTTTATAGTCTACAGCATATCCTTAGATTGTCTTTACTAGAACAAAAACCTTTTTTAAAATTTGACATTTTGAAAAAAATGCATTCCTCATAAAAAAATTTGCTTGTTCGATAATGGTTAATCCCGTTTATACCTTTCAAAATGTACATACTGTCTTTTTTGTTTGAAAATATAGTTGAATTAGTCCTAAAAATCAAAACGCGTCTATGGTAATATAATTGCATTTTTATTCTTTGATAGATTATTATTGATAAAATTTTAATTAACTTCATATTTTTAGCTATTTTAAAATGCTAAAGAAGCACAATAATTATAGGAAAATATGATACTTTTACAACAGGGAAAAAAATATGACGTTAATGAAAATTAATAATAACCATCTTGGTAGATGGTAAGAATGAAATCAAAATTGTATTACCATAGAAACGCCTTTTGATTTTTAGGAATTCATTTTGTCATGTTTTTTTATTATTTTCTCTAAAAAGGTGAGGAAATTTGGAAAAATATAAACGGGATTAAATATTTTTATTTTTACATTTACATTTATCTCAAAATATCAATAATAAAAAACGTTTTCCTCTGGTAAAAAAATCCGGGGATATACTGTACATGAAGACAAAATGTAATTTTATTATTTTTAATAACATGGGTATTTAATGATCTCTCTAAGTTATTAAGTTGACATTGATGAAGTAAACTGAAGAATTTAAAGACACGCGAAGAAAATATTTAAAGGGAACATTAGAAATTTGATTTGTTCCCTTGTTAGTAATATTTTGTCCAAATTCAGCTTTGCACATCGTTTTCGTGTCCGGCTTTCATTGATCGCATTCTATACGGGCGCTACGTGATTTATACTTAAAAAAATTACACACTGTGAAACGAACGATTGCCGACTAAACAATTTATATTTAAGTAAGTTTATAATGTATAGAATGTCCTATATATTAAAAAAAAAAGAATATTAAAAAGTTGTTCTTTTACGTTGTTATTTCTTTTGGTTGATGTGTCAGTGCAGTTAGCTTTTGACTTTTATTTTTGGATGATCAGATTTAAGTAAATCGCCAAGTTCTGCAAGTCGCGAGTATTCATCATTTCACAGACCATGAGACACTTTTTCTTGTTTTATCTATAATTACGAAACCAAGTTATAAAACAACATGACCGTTATTTTTTTAAGTATTTTTATTTATAGGAGACATTTGAATATTTCGTTAAACATATTTTCATATAAATTGTGCATCATTACTTTTTAAAATAAATTTTATTTTTATGTTTAATTTTTTATGGACAGGTATCTCGACAAACTTTCAGTTTATTTAGAAAGATTTAAATTTTTATATTTTTTTATTTAATAAATAAGGATACTCGCGGCTTTGACTCATAAAACTGAAATTAAATATTGACATATTCAAAACTATGTTTAGTTTTGTCTAATATTGTTTAAGAAAATATAAGAAAAGAATATGTAAAATGCTCAGTGAGATCATTCATGCCTAGGTGTGAAATTTAAGTTGATATCGATAGTAGAGATCAAATAGGTTTTTTATTACTTGTATTAGTTTAAGTCAGTACCTAAAAATAACTTTCTATTCAAAGATTTTGTTATCTATGCTCCATTCAGTAGGGAATCTATCAAATCTGCTAAATAACCCATTCATAATATATTTTGATTTATGTTTATGTATGAGATTCAAATAAGGTATCGAGATTACAATCTGCAAAATATTTTTGCATAAATTTCAATACTCGCACTGCAAAAATTACTGTTACTCTTTGAATTGAATGATCACACTGAGTTTGAGTTAATAATTCATTGAAATCATTTCGGTTATTTTTTATATCTATTTCTTTTACTGAAATTTAGTAATTCTATCATATTTTGGTTGAAATTAAGGTCATTTAGATATTCCAGAAATAAAAGAAAACAAGGAATGATTCGAATTATTTCTCTATTATAGACGATGATGATGATAATGATACACGAGCGTTTCTTTCTAGTCATTTAATCGGCCGCATGGGCAATGTTGCCAACTCGTAGTCGTCATTGTTCGTGTGCGTATGTGTGTCGGGATTCTCCCTTTTCGCCCTGTACCAGCTGGTAGCTTTTTATACCATCGTTCTTTTGCTCGGCTAATTACCGAATAAACATTGCTTTACGGTGGGGTCCGTCAGATTCGCCGGACTCACACCTGCGTCACATTCAACACAAAAAACGTCCAGATTTGGCTTGTGCGTTATAATACAGGGAACTTTAGCGCTTTGAAATATTTTAGGAGATTTTTTCTTGTATTTTATTTGGTATTACGCAATGTTTGATTCAAATATCAATCTAGGTATATCAAAAGTACTTATTAATTCTCTATAAATTACACTGTCGTAAAATTTGTAAATAGCAAATATTTCTAAGCACATATATTCCATTTTTTAAATTAATTTTGACTTAATTTACATTGAGTGTAAAGTTATCATCTCTGAATTTATCTACCTGTCGGTATAGATAGATTCAGGTGTACAGTTATCAGTTAGTAACTACTAAACACTCAAATGTTCGAATTAAGGAACATAAAGATTATTTAAAAAGGGCGTTACCGCTTCTTTGATGTGAATAAACATAACATAAGTAAAAATTTAAAAAAATATTCATATACAGAAAGTTTGAGGCGTTTTGGTTTTACCTCAGTTAATTGTTGGTTTTGAAGTTTTAACTAGACATAATCTAATTTAAACAGAACGTCAACGGTTTTTATAAACGGTTAAAAAAATAAGTATTCTTGAATATAGTTGTAATTAGATATTTACTTAATTGTTTTCTTTTTTCTTTGTGTTTTTTTTTGCTTCCAACGACGGGAAGAGATACTTCCCGAAAAGCATTTTTTTGTCCGTTATGCAAATTTGTTTTATTAGTAAAACACCGTTGACAAGTTAGTATCCATTGGATTAACGCAAGTGTTTACAAAAAATAACTATTTTATTTTGTAGATTTTCTTACAGTGCAAGTGGCGAAATACCCATAGGACTTTTTTGAATTTATAAAATACTAATATAGCAATATAGTTTCTTGTTTTATAGCTAAACTAACTGATAACTGTGTACTTTGATGTGCATTGGTTAGTATATAGTTTGTGTATATTTTACCCTGTAACTTTAAAATCTCGAAAAACATTTTTATTGTCACTTCTGACAGTTTTTTCAAATTTTATAGATATTTTACTCAGTTTTTAAGCAATTACCTTTGGATTTACCTACATATTCACAAAAAATATGACTTGCCTCTATCAAACTATCTAAATGAACTGTCAGTGATATAAATATTTACGATTTTTTAACATTCCAATATTTTGAAGTTTTAATATCATCGTCTGGCATTTTTATGGGAGTTACAAAAGGGTTTTTAATTTTCCGTATAGTATTAAAAGAAAATATTTTGTATGTCGAGTACGGGATAACTACACCAAATTTCAACTTACATTCTAGTTCACAACATAAAGTATAGTCAGTGAGTGTCAAATCGCTTAATGATAAATAACTATTTTGATTTTTTCAGTTTTATTTACAAAAGTATAAGTATTTACACACAACAAAAAGAATAAATAAAAAAATATATTTTGACGAAATTTTTACGAATGTCCAGTTTGTCGATAGCCCAAGAAAAACAACACAGAAAGTTTTAAAATTTCCCATAAAGTAATATATTTCTGTTCGTCTATATTTGTTGAGAAGCAAACATAGGGCTTTATTAAGGTAAATTGGTACCCTAGGTACCATTTCTTTTGCCATCCCTTTTACCCTGAAACTTCTTGGAATGGTTTATATTATTATGTTTATAGAAAATATATGTTTTGTCATCAGATGATTAAGAAAGCTTATAAAGTTATTTAGAATGTTTATGGTTGTCTATAGGTAGACCATTGCATCAAAGTGGGTACCTAGCCTGAAAATTAACATTTCTATTTTTTTAACTTATTGCTGGACAGTAAACTAAAATTACTTAGTGCGTGGGAAAATATTTTATTGGATTCACCCTATCTTCTGTCGTATATAAAAAAAAATCTATACAGGGTGGTCCGAATTGTATTCCGGAAACTTCGGCAGCATATTCTTCAGATAAAAATAGGTAAAAAAGTTCATATAAATGTATGTCCTAAAATGCTTAGTTTCCGAGATACAGGGTGTAGTAATTTCATTTTTATTTCGATTTTTTCCAAATAATTTCTGAAGTAACGTCAATATTTAGATGAAAATTGGTGTCTGGCAGTTTTTTTGTCATGAGAAATTTGATTTTGGAGTCAATATGAGTCCTACTGGTAGAGGGCGCCACCTACATGTGTTTTGAAGCCTAATAACTTTTTGTCCGTACCTGTATAAAACTACCGAGGGAAAAAATATACATCTCTGTGATTTTTTACGTAAAAACAATCTCTTTGTAAAAATCGCTACGAGCAACCGTTCTCAAGATATTTAGAATGGAAATAGTCAATACATGCCATTATTAACGAAAAATAAACAGGTTCAGAGTAGATAGAGTTATTTCACTGAAATAATAAATTTGGGAAATTTTTATTTTTTTAAATTAACCATATTTGTTCTGCAAAAAAATGATGATAAAACAGTTTTTGTTGAACTTTTGGTACAAAAACATTTCAAATTTATGATCTCAGTCTAATAACTATTTAGTCAACATGTTTAATTTATGTCAGTGATGACAGGTATTGATAATTTCAACTCCAAATATCTCGAGAACCGTTACTCGTAGCGATTTTTACCAAGAGACCTTTTTTACGTAAAAAGCGTCGCAAATGTATATTTTATTACTCAGTAGTTTTATATAGGTACGGACGAAAAGTTATTACTCTTCAAACCAGTTAAAAAATATGTAGGTGGTGCCCTCTACTAGTAGGAGTCATATTGACTTCAAAATCAAATTTCTCATGTCAAAAAACTCCCAGACACCAATTTTTATCCAAATATTGACGTTACTGCAGAAATTATTTGGAAAAAATCGAAATAAAAATGAAATTTCTACACCCTTTATCTCCGAAACTAAGCATTTTTGGACATACATCCATACGAACATTTTTACTTATTTTTATGTGCAGAATATGCTGCCGAAGTTTCTGGAATACAATTCGGACCACCCTGTATATGGATGAAGCAGCCCTAAGTAAAAATAAAAATATACTTAACCAGAAATTTAACAGAGATAATCGACATTTTTTTATAGTTTAGAAACAGTATTTTTAAATACATATATGATTTAAATTTTACTCATTAAATTTCAATCAATCTATATTGAATAAATATTACTCTATTTTGAAGCTTAGTTAATATTTAATGCCTTAAAATGAATTTATAGTCTTTTAAATATTAAATGGGAATTATAAAGAATAACTTAACTATTCATTAAAGTCAGCAATAGTTGTAACTTAAATATGTGCAAAATACTTCCATATCCAAATATCCAAGCCAC